CCACCGCGAAGTTTTTTTGTGACTAAAAAAAAGTTTCGATCAGATTTTTGGCAATTTCACTGGAAGTTACCATTTCTTCAAACTGCAAGGATTGTACATAAGCAAAGAAATGAATGCAGACTCTGGTCTTGTTATAATATAATAACATAATTTTTTTGCATTTATTGTTCCCACTTTTGAAGAAGTCGATAAAATAAATGTGATTGTGTTAGTTTTTTTCTCCGAATAAGTTTCATTTTTCATCTGGACTGCCCTACTAAAACTGAAATTGTTTTTTTAATACTTTTTCACTTATCAAATGAACAGACAAAATTGCTTGTCATTCAATTTCGAGAAAATGTTAAGAAATAGTCCCAAAAGGTTTGAACTGTTTTCTGCGGCATTTGCTTCTAACAAAATAGTCTGGTTACGAAAAAACCCATTTGTTTGACAAAATGTTTATATTACAGTTCCCATAGAAGAAAATTGTATGACAATTTTTTTTCCAGACGCCATTACGTCTTCTATAAAACCTTTTTTCCAGAAATTTCAATGAGTTCATTCTAAGAAAGCATTTGCGTCAGTGGTGTACCGAAGGGGGGGGCGACCCTTTTCTCCTCAATTAGTACACCCTTTGGTATAATTTTACGACACTAAATTTTGGCTGAACAACATTAAAAATTTTCTCAAAGTGCTTTTGGCGCCAATAAAACTTCATTTGACCTGGTAGAGCGCCAAAAACGCAATTTTCTTTGTTAAATTGTTTTGAAAAGTGATCAAAGCGTCATTTATTTTACCCTTTTCAGTAATCTCTACTAAAATAGGGTCCTGATAGTAATTTCGGAGAGCTCTGAAAATCGAATTGGTCGAGCTAAAAAAAGTCGGCAAATTTTTCAGTTAATCATCCCCTAAAAAATTTTCTGCGCATGCCAGATGTGAGTTTAACATGAAAAATATTTTCCTATTGAAAACAAGATTTTTGTTTAATTTTCTAATCGATAGCTTGCAATGCTACGCTTGTGAGTTTCGGTTGATTTTTTTGTCGGCTTGCTTGCTAATAAGATCAATATGGTTGATCCAAATTCATTTGACCCAACTTGAAATTCTGATCAGGTCTACTGGAATCTCTCAAGTTTGTAGAAAAAACCATATGAAGCTTCAGGTTTGCTTGAAAGTAAAAACAATTTTGCTAATGTAAAAAACGAATACCAGCATTTTTCAGATCTTTGCATTCGAGTCAGAAAAAACGGGTCAGTTTTTTTGCAGTCATATAAGCCAGTGCACGAAAAAATTCCTGTGTTTAATTTTTGCTAATGTTAGTCTTGGTTAAGAAACAGATATAAAGTGAAGCTCCGTTTCTTTTCAAGATTCAATACGGTTAACTATGATATTATTTTAATCGATAGATTTGATGCACCCACATAAAACAATTCTGCATTCGCCCGGTCATTTTTCAATATTCTTTCTCTTGGGTTTCAGATAAATCAGAATTTTGTAACAGAGACTGTGCAAGCTTTTTACCTTCAGCTCTGATCAGTAACAAATAAAATATCGCAGACAGGTTTTTAACAATTAGTATCACAGACCTGTATCAGACGTGCATTGATTCAACACTGATTCAAAAAGATAGAAGGTAGTTTAAAGTATACATTAAACAAAAATATGTCCCTGCCTAGGTTGGAATAGATATTTGATCACTTGTTGTCCTTCTTTATTGTTCCGACTTTCGAAGAAAGTTAGGAGTATATATGCTCGGAATGGATTTTTTACGGAGAACAATTCCCAAAAACATTTCCCTCGGGGAATTGAACACCGCCACTGTACTTTCTATGCAGTGAAGGTTGGAATCATTTGATGATCGTAGAGAATAGTTTCGAAATGTCCATGGCTATATTTTGAAGAAAAAAAGCTTAAGTTTTATAACGTTTTTCTGAAGTCACGTTGAATGATTGATGAGGAAAATCTTGCGGTCATCAATGATTCAGTTCTGCAAAACTTAAGTACATTTAAAAAGATGAACTCATGGGTGTGTATATTTTTCTACAGTTTTGCTTTGCTAAATACTGCGGTAATAAAGTAAAGTAGTTTTACTTCGCTCTGAAAGAAGCTATTCATTCAGAAATCTCTGTCACTCAGCTCATATGCACTATCGTTTGTTTCTCCCTTCATAGTCAACGACCAGAAAAAAGTGATTTTTTTTTCGTACAAAAATTTGTTTGGTAGTCACTGTCTCATTAGTGATTTCTCCGGTTTTTTTCCTGCAGTTAGTTTTCAGATTGTAAGAAGCTATCAATAGTTCAAGCTCTCACAACTAAATAAAATTTAGACACAGAAACTTTGCGTGACTAAGAAAACGGACAAACTTGAGGTTGCGATCGATTCAGGTAGACATTTATAGTGATAATATACTGCATAGAAACCAATTTACGACAGCCCAGTTAGAAACATAAATCGTAGGAATAGATTGAATGGTTTTTATACGATAGAAAAAAACTTTTTCCCATAAAGAAGGGTTCAAATGGATTTTGGCAAGGTAATGGAAAGTTATCAAAATCTCAACAAAATTGATTCAACTTAACTTTTCTTTGTGTTTCCAAGCTTGAACAAAGTTGTGTACCCAAGAAAATCTCCATGAGAACTACAGAGAACGAGTGTCACTCGGGGAGAATTTTTTTGCCGCAAAATATTGCGTTTAAGGGATTTCATTTCAAGTTGTGCAAAATTAAATGTTTCCACGGTATGAGAAGAAAAACTATGCAAAGTTTACTTAAATGTATTTTTCTTTATCAATGTCCCAGGTTCCTCAACTTTGTGAGACTGTTAACATACAATTTGTTTAAAAAAATAAAAGTAATCATTTTTCAGTGCAGAAAACTGAGATATTAGCTATCCTCATAATTGTTCCGACTTTCGATACAAAAGTAACGGATTATTTGTGCTCGGTGTGGTTTTTTTTTCTTCAGACGAGTTTCGACTTTTTAACTAGTCATTTTGGCGGAATTTTTAAATATCATTCGAAAGGTATTGTTGTCCTTTTCAAATTTTGGAAAAAAGAATTTCATTTTTTTAAATTTTTTTTTATTTTTTATTGTTATTACTGCTTCATAAACCTAAATAGGCAGTCGGAACATTCAGGGCTTCGCCCTGATACGAGCAGTCTTGTTTATTTTTAGATCAATTATCAACATTTAAAGTCAACCGAACAGCATACGTTGAAATTTTTTCCCCTATTGTTTAATAATCTAGAGAATATGTTATATTTTGATTATAATCTGTATATAAACTGCATAAATTGAGTACAAAAACAAATCGTTGAAATTGAAAGTGGCAATTCCCTTTTATATTTTAACAACTTTTTGAGCAGTTTCCAAAATCTTTGATGAAAACGCGTATCAAAACTTTGGGGAAAATAAATCATTTTGAGAAAATTACCAAAAATTTTACCATTATAATTAAATAGATTATTTTCAAAACAATTATATTGCATTATCAATCAACTAACTTTTATTTTCTCTCCTTATAACCTCTTGAATGTTTTTTTATCGACATAAATTCTTTTGTATCTGTAAAATTCACAGAAAATCTATTTGTGAATATGACTGACTAAAAACCTAAACTTATCTACCTAAGAAAATCCAGGCATCGATGTATTTGCAATTTTGGGCAAACCTTTCTTTTTGACTAATTTTAAAGCATTGCGACAATGGATTAACTGAAAAACCATCAGAACAAAAATCAATTTCGGGAGAGATTTTTTTAGGTTCGTGATAACTCTTAGATCCAAAAAATGGAAAATGAGTTGAGGCATTAGAAAACAGTCAAAATCTGGAATCAAGAGCAACAAAAAGAGAACACTGCGACCATGATAACTAAAAATAATCACTAAAAGTTCAGGTAATTGAACAATTTGTGAATTTAACTTTTTCAAGAACTTATCTCCCCAGCGCGCTATCATACTTAGCAAGTTGAAATTGGCAGGAAGGGAGTGGAGTGGTGTTGAAAATTTTTTGAACGCTGAAAAAAAAACAATTTAGTTTTAACACATACTATCACGTTTTGATCAAAAATTGCAACTTTTAATTCAAATTCATGAGGGTTAAATAAGTAGGAGGGACAAAAGTTGGTGAAAGTAAATAGAGAACAGCAAAATTTAAGAAACTAAAATTAGGCATAAAAATAGGACAAAACGAAGAAAAAAAGAGAAATTAAATTAACCTTTTTCGAACCAAATTAATTATAAATTCAATTAAATCACCGTCTGTTTTGCGGAAGCAACGACCATATTTCGAATTACTTAAATATTTGAACATGACTTACTTATTTTTAAAAATGAATGGATCAAAATCAATTATAATTGCTTACAGTTAATCGAATTTAATGGATTATTTTTATTTTCCTAACTGATTATGATCAGTTGTTTTGAATTTTATAGATACAAGCAAGAAAAACCAAAAGGGTCAGCCTAGTTAGTTTGGAAAACTCTTTTCGTTTAAAGTTGTACCTTTTCGCGCATAGAAAATCTTTGAAAAAAGATACCCAGATATATTCAGTGAAAATGCGCGAATAATTAATTACTCAGCGAATAAATTATTTTCGTTTGCTGTATCACGAAATTCCTTGGGCCAGCATTCCATTTAGGTATAATTGCTAGCCAGCTTACCGAATTAAATGAGAGTTTTTTGAGCCGTCGCCTTAGTGAAAAAACCTGGACTGACGGAATTGGATGCGTATGAATGCGTATAGCAAGTAGATTTATTACGCATAAAAAGCATAGAAAGCAAGTCTTAAGCGATTTCAGGTATCTGAACCATTTCTACAGATTCCGATGCGTGGATCGAAAATGATGAGAGTGGTTCACAAATTATAATATGGCGTTGCAACCAAAATATCAGTTTTACGCTCCCTGTTTCATTTTCTGTGTAAATTTGAAACTCGCACACAGCTGCAAATAAAAGATTGCTGCCATAAAAGGAAGAAGGTGTGAAAAGAAAAAGTCGAAAATTGTTTTTTTTTCAGTATTTGATTTTAGATGACTCACAAAATATACATAAACTGCCAATTCATACAATATTTTTCTTATATTTACAGCGTGTTTTTCAGTTCGGATATTGATATGTGTTGTTCGCCGTATAGATTGAAGCGAGCCCTCTGCAAACCAGTTGTTATTCTGGCCCTGACTTTCTTACTTGTCTTCTTCAGAAACAAATGTGTGTGAAAAAAGTTTACCAAACATACAAAACTGCATGATTTAATTAAAATGAATTAATAATTGTATTCTAGTGAAACTTATGATGACATTGACTAGTTTAGAAAAACCGTTCGTCTTTTCGATATAAAAGAATTCCCTTTAAGCCCCTTAAGACATTTGCCAAACAATCTGGTGTTTTTTTAAGCAGCCATTTCTAAAATTCAATGAAAAACGGTTTTTAGAAATGCAATTTTTAGACTTCACTGCACAAAGTAGATTATAATGGAGTTCTATTCAAATATGGCCCTTTTTGAGTTTTGACTGAGTCTGAAAATTGGGATCTATCACAATCGCCCTCCCCTTGGTATCTACTAAAGAAATGCCACCCCTATAAGTACAAGCAAAAAATAGCACTATACAGCGCGTTGTTTTTAAAATTTGAAATTTGTTCCAATCTGAATGGTCGGGACTTCGACAACTCAATCCACTTAACAGTTGCCCCCTTCTTTCTTGAAAGGGGTGCAATTGTTAAATGGATCCGAAAATTGTTAGGTTTGACCAAATTCGATACAAAGTAGAGATTTTCAAAAAAGCTCCTCTCAATCATACTAAAACCCGACTAAATTCAAATGAGGGCATAAACAAAACGCAAATGAAAAATAACTTTTATTTTAAGTACTTATTAAACAAAAAATATCAAAATATGATCTTGGTAGCCTAATTTCAAAGACACCCAATCAGATGAGAGCATTGGTGACAATATCACAACCACCCAGTCAATACAAGAACACGAGATTGCTCAACTCACTTCAGATCAACATCAGAAAAGTGTTCGGTAAGTTGGAATAAGTTCTTTCTTCGTTTCTGCTATCGACAAAAGACTGTTACAGCTTTCCATCATTTTCCTGACTTTTGACTTCCTAATTTTTTTGTTTTAAGAGACATCCACACAGTTGAGTTTCCGATCAGATACCCGATGGGAGGTATCAACTACAGGGAGGCATGCCCTCTGGACTTCGACTGTTTTGTACACTCCGGACATCAAATCCAGGAAAAGTTCCATTTTTCATCACCTCCTTTTCAACAGTTTTTTTATGTTATCGGATTTCTTTAGAATCTATCGAACAATATAAATGTATATACTAGATGGCGCCTTTTAAACACCTATGAGTTACACTTTTTTAACTTGAAAATTGACGCAAGTTTCCAATAAAGGAAACAAAATAATTTCAGTTTTTTTTCCAGAGATTTTTTATGTTTTTTCTCAAACACTGTTGAAAAGTTTATTTCGTACCCAGTATCAAAGCCCTACATCCTTAATTTCCGCTTTGAGACACCTGTGAACGGATCTGTAGGCTCAATGTTGCTGTCAGGGAATGAAATTGATGGCCTATTTTATGAATTTTTAAAACTAACCCCATATTGGAACTCCGAAAACAATTCATTATTTGATAATCGTTCCAAGAATAAACTGAGGCTTTTGGTAACTAGTAACATATTGAAAAAACCAAAAACCAGTTTGAAACGATTGCTGGGTAGAATTAACTTGCCGTCTTCGAACTGGTAGCACGAAATATATTGTACAAGAACAGTCTCTTTTTCCAAACTACAAAAAAAACAAATCAAATTAAACATTTTTCTCAGTTTGAGCTCAGAATTTCAATCAGCTTTTAGATGGCGTTAAACTTTTTGTTCAAAAGGGGATAAATTTAAAAGTGGAAATCAATCTGAAGAAAAGCTATCTACATCGAGCACAAAATATCATCACTTTCTCCAAAACAGAACAATATGTTGTTTTCAGTGTTCTTCTTTGTTATTTCAACTTCCAAAGAAAGTGAAAGAAAATTTCTAACTGCTACTATTTTGATCCTTCAGATCAATCAAAGATTTTATTATAGCTGGCATTTTTGAACATGTGTGAAAGGTATTGACAATTTGAGCTCAAAGTAGAAAAATAAAAAAAAAATTTAGCCTTGATTTTTTCCTAAAGCTTCCAAATTTGGGTTTTTGGCTCGAATTAAATTTCGTGCATCTAAAGTCTAGGTGGGTAAATTCTGCTGCGAGACTAGTTCAGTTTGAAATTAGGTCAACCATATGGTCCTTACACGAATACATTAACAAACGGTGTTTGCATCAATTTGTGCTTTAAATAGCGCGTAGAAGAAAACAAGACTGCTCGTCGTATATCAGGGCAAAACCCTGACTGTTCCAACTGTCCCATAATTCATAGGAAACGGTTTTTAGGAAACGAAAATATCGAAAAACCTGTGAGTTTTGACTGAGTCTGAAAATTGGGATCTATCACAATCGCCCTCCCCTTGGTATCTACTAAAGAAATGCCACCCCTATAAGTACAAGCAAAAAATAGCACTATACAGCGCGTTGTTTTTAAAATTTGAAATTTGTTCCAATCTGAATGGTCGGGACTTCGACAACTCAATCCACTTAACAGTTGCCCCCTTCTTTCTTGAAAGGGGTGCAATTGTTAAATGGATCCGAAAATTGTTAGGTTTGACCAAATTCGATACAAAGTAGAGATTTTCAAAAAAGCTCCTCTCAATCATACTAAAACCCGACTAAATTCAAATGAGGGCATAAACAAAACGCAAATGAAAAATAACTTTTATTTTAAGTACTTATTAAACAAAAAATATCAAAATATGATCTTGGTAGCCTAATTTCAAAGACACCCAATCAGATGAGAGCATTGGTGACAATATCACAACCGCCCAGTCAATACAAGAACACGAGATTGCTCAACTCACTTCAGATCAACATCAGAAAAGTGTTCGGTAAGTTGGAATAAGTTCTTTCTTCGTTTCTGCTATCGACAAAAGACTGTTACAGCTTTCCATCATTTTCCTGACTTTTGACTTCCTAATTTTTTTGTTTTAAGAGACATCCACACAGTTGAGTTTCCGATCAGATACCCGATGGGAGGTATCAACTACAGGGAGGCATGCCCTCTGGACTTCGACTGTTTTGTACACTCCGGACATCAAATCCAGGAAAAGTTCCATTTTTCATCACCTCCTTTTCAACAGTTTTTTTATGTTATCGGATTTCTTTAGAATCTATCGAACAATATAAATGTATATACTAGATGGCGCCTTTTAAACACCTATGAGTTACACTTTTTTAACTTGAAAATTGACGCAAGTTTCCAATAAAGGAAACAAAATAATTTCAGTTTTTTTTCCAGAGATTTTTTATGTTTTTTCTCAAACACTGTTGAAAAGTTTATTTCGTACCCAGTATCAAAGCCCTACATCCTTAATTTCCGCTTTGAGACACCTGTGAACGGATCTGTAGGCTCAATGTTGCTGTCAGGGAATGAAATTGATGGCCTATTTTATGAATTTTTAAAACTAACCCCATATTGGAACTCCGAAAACAATTCATTATTTGATAATCGTTCCAAGAATAAACTGAGGCTTTTGGTAACTAGTAACATATTGAAAAAACCAAAAACCAGTTTGAAACGATTGCTGGGTAGAATTAACTTGCCGTCTTCGAACTGGTAGCACGAAATATATTGTACAAGAACAGTCTCTTTTTCCAAACTACAAAAAAAACAAATCAAATTAAACATTTTTCTCAGTTTGAGCTCAGAATTTCAATCAGCTTTTAGATGGCGTTAAACTTTTTGTTCAAAAGGGGATAAATTTAAAAGTGGAAATCAATCTGAAGAAAAGCTATCTACATCGAGCACAAAATATCATCACTTTCTCCAAAACAGAACAATATGTTGTTTTCAGTGTTCTTCTTTGTTATTTCAACTTCCAAAGAAAGTGAAAGAAAATTTCTAACTGCTACTACTTTGATCCTTCAGATCAATCAAAGATTTTATTATAGCTGGCATTTTTGAACATGTGTGAAAGGTATTGACAATTTGAGCTCAAAGTAAAAAAATAAAAAAAAAATTTAGCCTTGATTTTTTCCTAAAGCTTCCAAATTTGGGTTTTTGGCTCGAATTAAATTTCGTGCATCTAAAGTCTAGGTGGGTAAATTCTGCTGCGAGACTAGTTCAGTTTGAAATTAGGTCAACCATATGGTCCTTACACGAATACATTAACAAACGGTGTTTGCATCAATTTGTGCTTTAAATAGCGCGTAGAAGAAAACAAGACTGCTCGTCGTATATCAGGGCAAAACCCTGACTGTTCCAACTGTCCCATAATTCATAGGAAACGGTTTTTAGGAAACGAAAATATCAAAAAACCTGTGAAATTTGGACAAAATCAAAGTGTAAAATTTTGAGTCGTGCGAAATTAATACGACCAATTAGCTAGCCTCAATTCAATTTGAAACATTTTTGTTGTGCGGGATAATTCGCTACGCATAAATAATTCGGGTTACGCTATCAGTAATATGAATAAATTCTTTAAAGCGCGCATAAGTTAGTCCAGAACATGGTCAATTTGGCAATTTTCAAACCAAAACAACTTACCAAAAAGTAATTGGAGGTGAAATATCTTTTTATATTTGAACTCAGGAAGTCGAGATCTTCAATATAATTTTAAAAATTGTCGAAAACCATTATTTCGATCGGCGAAATTTGACTGAATAATAAAAACCACACCGAGCATAATTATTCCGTTTTCTTCGAAAGTCGGAACAACAACTTCAAAAGAATAGTTTCATTTGCTTTATTTCCTCTTTTTGTTCCAACTTTCGATACGAAAGTAACGGAATATATGTGCTCGGGGTGGGTTTTTTTTTTCTTCAGACCAATTTCGACTTTTTAACTAGCCATTTTTGACGGAAACTTTTTATATCATTCGAAAACTATTGTTGCCCTGAGCTTAAATTTGAAAAGATATTTCACCTGTGATCATTTTTTGTAAAGTTATGAGGGTTTAAAGATTGCCATTTTGGCCATTTTGACCAATTTGGGACAATTAATGCGCGATATAATTCGCGCTATTAACGCGTAAGCGGAGAATTAATCCGACTTAAAATCGTTCCAAATTGGTTGAAAAAAGCTTATTTGCTATATTTGATTTGTTACAAGGAACGAAATCTATTGTTTTGTACTTTATATGGCGTGTGGGGGGGGGATGATTTTCATAGAAAAATTTTCAAATTAAAAAAAAAATTTTTTTTTCATTTCATTTTAGTTTATTTAATTTTTTTATGTTGTTTATGTTATTACTGCTCCATAAACGTTAAAAAGCAGTCGGAACTTTCAGGGCTTCGCCCTGAAACGAGCAGTCTTGTTTTGTTTAAAAATAGTAATTTCATCAAAAGCAGTTAATAACTTAAGGCTTTGCTATTAATGAGATCTCATGATAAAATTGAGATTTTTCAAGAATGGTTTATAAATATGCCTTTAAATAAAAACTGTCAAAAATAATGAGACTGCTTCGACTTTTTTTGTTCAGATTTTTGAAGAATATTTTAACCTGTTATCTTTTTTAGTGGAGTAGGGGATGAATTCAAAAATGACAATTCGAATAACTTGGTTAACTAACGCGTTTTGTATGGCGTTTTTTAGAACGCGTATACTGCAAAGTCAAACCCTAATTAAATTGAGGCATTTTTTTGCCTTAATAATGCGTGTCTGTCAGACGCAAAATGTGTCACCTTGCACAGAGAGTTGCAAAAAGTTGCAATAGATATAGTTAAGCAAAAAATTTAGTTTTCAGTTTGAAAACATGTCTCAAGGTCACCTAAATAATCAAATTTCTATGCAAAGTTTGCTCGAAATTTGCAGATTGCTCTTTTGAATGAGTTCTATCTATTCCAATTCTTTGCAACTTATTATAGATAATTGCAAAAAGTTCCGACAGACAGAGACAATAAAGAATATTGCAGTTTCGTTTTCTTTTCAGCTAACTTTGAGGCACAAATGCGGACTGAAAAACTAGGATTTACGTGGAAAGTTTTTCCAAAATTGAATCAATCACTCGTTTGAATTATTTTGACCGTCCGAATTTTCGGCTCTTACTTATATACTTTACACAGAACTTCGATGATATAAAAACATAAAATAGTAAAACTCATACATTTCTTCTTTTTCTTATGTTTTTCATCAATTTACTGAATTGAAAAATTTCGCCAGGTTTTTAAAAGGATGAGAGGAAATTTAGGTCGCCATCATCGCCATCATCGCCATCATACGAGCAGTCGTATGTTTCTCGCTGGTTTTTAAACTCAATCGTGTGACTGCAGGCGAAACAAAGCAGATCCAGATTAACAATCTGTAAGCTAAGTCATAGCTTATTCAACCTTCGAACTCGTCTTCTGTGTCGCTAAATGTCATTAAAATACTAGCATATGCTGTTTCCTTGCAATTCACCAAATGATTCGCCAACTGAAACCCAAGTTAAACGCCATCTGTTTAACTGCCCTCCCACTTTTGACCTAAAAGCAATTTCAAAATTGTTGGATTGCAATGACCATATCTGTGGTTTCCACAGTCCATCATAAATACCCAGCTTGGGGTTTTAATGTTAAATTTCTCATTCAAATGTATGTGAAGCAAATCTGAAATACTTTGTTCCAGAACCTGATAAATATTTCCCACTTTGATTTGGTCTTGGCCAGGGGACCTCAGGGAGTGAAGAGGCTGAACGACTTGTGGCTGGCAGGAGGGAAGAAGCGAGACCCCAAACAGGTGTGGGTTTCGAGTCACGCCGAATCAGTTTTGAATGGAGTTAACTTCGCAGGTTTTGATCCAATTTTGTTTATCAACGCTTCTAATATTCAATCAGAAGCGCTTTCCCCTCAGAATCGAGAATTCAACATTTTACGGATGAGTAACAGCACCATGGTTAGTAGCGGATGCCTCTTCCTCGGGTGTGTTGCAACCTCATGAATTAAAAAGAACCCCTTTGGCAGTATGTTTGTCAGCTTAGCACTAACAATTTTCTAAGTACTCATTTTGAGGGGGAAGAGTGCTCTGAAAAAGCCATTTTTGTCCACTACTCTCTATAACTTTTAGTGCAAAATTTGGTAATTTTAGTTCCAAAAGGTTTTGGTGAAAATTGGGAGTTAACTTGAATTACCACGTCATAACTCTCGAAGGCAAAAAAACTATAAAATTTGACATTCAATTATGCCAATTAAAGTGTTTGACTTGTTTTCGTGTTTGTGAATGGATTTTTTTCAAACTTATAGCTTTTTTAGGTCTGAATGACGACATGGACTCTCAATTTAACTGGACAATTTATCGCTCAGAAAACGCAACGATCAATTTCAACATGTTCCATGTTAAGAAAACGAGCTCCTACTCTATGGAAAATGTCATCAAAGAATATACTGCTCTTGGAAAAACGAAATCTTTTTGCTGGGCCATCAACAACTGCAATAATGGATGGACCAAACGAGTCGACTTGGGCATAAAAATTATCCGGAATTTACCGGAAAAAATTCATATGTGGGGAATGGCGCCCCGAACGTGCTTCAGTCCCGTTTCTGACCATATTTTTTCTCACGGATCCTTTAAAATCTCTAAAAACCCTCAAATTTCAAGACGAGAAAAAATCCAGGATTGTAAATTCTATTTTTCGCTCGAAAATTCAAACTGCAGCGGTTACATAACTGAAAAGTTCTCCAACGCTTTGTTATCTTACGCGGTACCTATAGTTAATGGTTGGTTGGATTCGTACGAAAAAGAATTGCCAGGATCGTTTATTCATGTGAGTAAGTTCAGATCAATGGCCGAATTAGGAAACTATTTGGATTACCTTCTCAAAAATGAGACCGCTTATTTTGAGTATCACAAATGGAGATTGCAAAATACAGTTATTGATCACGACGAAAAAGACACGAAACGAGAATGCACCATGTGTCGGAAAATGGCAGAGGTCGTAAAATCTTTCGACTCGAATATGCCTCTAGTTTCAACCATAAATAGTCTTCGACAAAAATTCAGAGATGGATCTTTTTCAAAATGCAACACAACGCAACATTCACTGACAGATAAAATTTTGAAAAAAAGTTCTAAAAATTCTGATTTCAAGTTTTAGATTTCACTCCGTGGTGAATGTACTTTTGGTCTGACCTAAAAACAAACATCATGTTGGATCGAGTTCATATAAAATCATATCCCTTAAAGTCAATGTTCAAACGAAATCAGATTAAAGTTTCATGTACAGTTTGAATCTTTGGAAGCCTAACTTGCTTTTTTCTGGAAAAAAATTATTTATTGAAGTCCTGACAGTTTTCTTTAAGCTAGCGTTTTTTCACCGACGCAGAATAACAGTGGACTGATAAAATTGCTTTTGTCGGTTATGATTTTGTTTAGCAGAGTTGACTGTACCTGCATGCACATTCTCTGCTACTTGCACAGTAACTGGCTCCTCTTCTTGGTATAGTTATTCGAATACTTACCTGCTGGTAGCATGTTATCCCGATACAAGCAGCAGTTGGTACGAGTGCTTAGAATTAGGTTTAGTTTTTATTGTACAATTTTTGTAGAAATCCTAACAACTCTGTTTTCTGTTTTTGTTGAATTTTATTCTGATATCTTTATTTGTCTTACTTCCTGTGGGTCATATAAGAGTTGATTCAAATCTGACCACTTCTGACTCAAAATTGATCATTCGTTTTAAAAAATTCATGAGTGTGCTTGCTTTTGTCTCTGTTTTTTTGGCTGATCGTTGATCGTCTTAACCAGTGCTGGCGCACTGAGGAGTTAATATTATTTAGGGCAAAAATATTAGCTAAGATGAGGTTCAAAAACGGTTATTTCAGTATTTTCAGCAGACATTAAGCAAGGCAAATGAAAAGTGGAAACAATTTAATGATAACCTGATTCTTGATTTTGCAAGGAAAATTTTTTAAAACATTGTTTCATGATTGAAAAAAATATTGTAGCTTGCTTACTCGACACATTTAAATATTTAAGTGTAATTGTAGAAAAAACATAGAGTGCACATTTTTTTAAAAAATTTTTTCCGACAATAATGACCTGATGAAAAGCGTACTGAAATAAGTTTTCAATTGCACGGTTTTTTTGCAGAAGACAGTGGTGCGAGACAGTTGCAGAAGACAGAATTTTCTCTGGGAGGGGGTAGGGGCGGTTTATCGATAGTTTTCTTTTTTTTTGTGAGAAATGTTCAAAGTTGACAAGCGTATCTGCGGATAAATTGCAGCATCAAATCGTGATGGATCAAAACAAGAGTGCTCTGCTCGTACACCACGGCAAAGCTTTGAATGAGTAGAATGAATTAAAACGTACAAAAAGTTTACGTCCAATTTAAAAGAATTGGAAAAAAATGGATAAAAACGAAAAATAGAGGGAAAATTTTATTCCGTTTTTTTCTTTACTTAACCTCTCAGTCTTTTGCAAACTGAAAAAGATGTGTTTAGCGTCTCTAATTCTAAAAAAGAGCATTTTGCCTCAATTTAATTTAGAAAGATTCAATCTGTTGCTTACGCGTGTTATAAGAAGACAGCATATTGCGCTATTTAGCAATTTTCAAACCCGTTTTACTTCATGCAAAAAGATCACTGCTGATTTTTTTACATACTTTGAATTCAACAAAATTTTTTCAGGTTTTTTTTGAAGATAAAAATTTATCGTCGAAAACGCATTGCAAAAACAAAAGTTTTGTTTTATTGTTTTTTATTCAAGGTACATAGTCTGTTTATCAGTAGAGAGAACATCTTAATATAATTTTCGGCGCTCTCAAACTTTTGTCATTCCGACCAAAACAAAGGGTGGAGCCGCCTACCACATGGACCCAGTGGAGCGACCAATTTCAGTTGCATTTGTCGCGACACTGAATCTGGAAATCGGCAGTCGTAGCTGACAAGAAATACCAGAAACTCAACTTCCAATTCTGGAACAAGCTTCAGATATTGGGCTGGACCTAGATAAAGTCCTTCGGAAACGACGAATAAAAAGGCTGTAAAAAGGCAGCAAGCAGCAGAAGAGATCAAGGTAATTGTACTTAGGAAAAATGGTAATCGCTCAAAAAAAGAAATCTTTTAAACAATTTTGGGAATTTCTACACTTCGCTTTTAAAAAACCTCCCAATAAAATTTTCAAGAGATATAAATGTTCAGATCAAGAACAGAGAGACAAGGAATCCTTTGAGCAATACTAGGGAGAGCTACCAGGTTTAGCAAGAGTGTGCAATATTCAGTGAGAACAACAAGGCGGATTGGATTTGGGATGTTTTATTTTCATCACATTTGATTTTCATCACAAAAAAGTTAATTGTGATGAAAATGGGCTAAAATAGAAAAGCTTTGAACATAGGGTTGAATTAGACAATGAATGTGAATATAAACATACCACTGTCAGTGAGCTCAGTTATCTGCAGCAAACAGTATGTCTGGCTCGAGCATAAATTGATGCACCAGAGATTGAAGAAACAACCGGTGGAGAAAGGAAACAAAACGGTTATGCGGTCTTGCTGACAAAAGGATCAACAAATTGGGGAAAATCGTCTTCAAGACTCAGCGGGTTACTAAGAAACACCGTTTTTTTTATCACAGGAGAACACGAGTCGAAAATTTTGGTAAACCCAAGCTGGTTTAACTGGGGTTCGAACTCAAACAAAAACGCCCTGTGCCGGCATGCAGTGTCAAACAACAATCAATTGAGAGTAATTTGCAAATTTTATTTTAACACGCACTAGTTTTTCAAAAAGTTTAAAGATTGATTCAAATGAAACGGTAAAATAATTTACGACTTGAAAAAACCTTTTGATTCGCCTTTTAAACCGGTACAAGCTAAATCAGAAGAACTTAACTGACAGGAGTAGTATATATTGGAGCTGAAGTGGGAGGGTGCGGTTGGAGACCGTCATGTATCAAGATAAAGAATAGAACATCCGGTCTCCAAGCTATGTAATAAGATAGGGGATAGATTTCCCATGTATTAAAATAGTTTGTAGTTTTTGCCATGTATTAAGATACAAGGTTTGAGATGATAAGATGGTGAGTTTCAAAAAAAATTGGCGTCCGACCTTACCATGTTTTAATATCTTTTACACCCACACGATAGGGTACAGATCTCAATTTAATAATATTTTTCTTTACTCTTGTTCTAATCCATTTGATTTTAGATAGAAAGTGTCTAAATCTATGCTGAAATTTAACCGAAACTCCGAACAAAAATTTTTTTTTCAGAAAAAAAACAAAATACTGTCAACTGTTAAATCACAGTTGAAAAATTAAATAAAATACAAAATCATTGCAACGTATGGAACTTTACTACACTTTACCCGTTTAATTTGCAAATTTAGTAGCTATGTGTGTATTCCATCATTAAGTAGGTCCCATTTCGGGTAAAAGTAACTGAGTCCTTTTAGGTTTGTTTATATGTGTCAAATGAATGATTGGTGTTTTTGAATCCACGATTCGTTGGCTTCAAATTTATAGATTCGTCAAGAAAATGTCTGTTTTTAGACATTTGCCTATCTCCAGTATCGTCGAGAGTTCTGTTGATGAGTCCTTTGCTACTACATGTTAATTGGTCACTCTTACTAGCGTATAAATCTTTTTTTTTACAACATTTAATCGCTTGCAAAACTTCTTAGTTACTGTTTTGTGTGTGTCCGGTCTAGTTCTGTCCATGATTTGATAACCGTAAAAGCTGCTAATCAGAAGTTTCATCGTTTCAGCAACAACTCTAGGGTGTGGATTCTCGTGTGCATCTCGTCGAGCATCAACAACAGACTGAACAAACTTGTTCAAGCACTTAATGGGCGTGTACTCAACAATCAGATAAACATTTTGTACATTGAGTTTCAAGTTCAAGATAAATTTCAGAAGGGGAATAAGTTTAGTACCATTTTCCAATTCAAAACTGGAAATCAACTTTCGTTGTAAATTTTTCAACAAATCATTTTCTCCGGCATAATTTAACATTTAATCTCCAATATCATTCCGACACACGTCAATGCTTTTGAAAATAAGTTAAAAAATTGAAGTTTTGGACTTCAACTTGTTGGAACAATCAAATTGCATTGAATAAAATCAAACGGTAATCCACACTTTAGTTTTTCAGGTAAAGAATTAGGGGACAGAGGTCTTTTGTAAAGAAAGTTTGTCTTGAAATGATTCTTGGCTGTAGAACCTGTTTTAAACCGCTCCCATTACTCATAATCCCACATTTCATGAATGCTGCAGCTTTTTGCTTTTAAATAGTCTTGTCTCAACTCATCGATTTATGTTCTTTTTTGTCCCCTTTCAAAATCTCACTCTAACAAAGATGGACGAGTTTGTTGACGGGAGCAGAAGTGATACCGTACTTTATTCTCTCTGTATAGAAATCTTTTTTTTTTAAATTGCATATTCATAATTGTCACAGCGGAACTGCAATCTTTTAATGATTGATATTGCATCGATTGAAAGTTCCGACTGCCCCTTAATCGTAATTGAGTAGTTTTTATTGACAACCCCTAAATTTCGGACAATGCCCAACATCAAGAGTGGAAATTTGAGCATATAAGATATCAATACAATCTATTGGCATGCCTGTGTTCGATACGAAACAATCTGTGGTGCGCAATTGTTCTCCTCGTATCAATAATTCGGTCTCAACGATGCGAAGATCTCAAACCCAAGAAATTTACAAAAAAAAGTTGAAAATAAATTATCTCCTTACATTTGAACTTGGGAAGTCAATCTGATCATTGGGACATCAAATTTTTTCGATAAAATTTTTTTTTCTCGATTCACAACATTTGATTGAATAATAAGAAAACCAACTCAGGAATAAAAATTCTGCATTTCTTCGAAAATTGAAACAATGAAAAGCTATGAAATAAATACAAAATTAGCAAGAAACAAGAAAACGTTGATTCAATTAAAAAGACCACAAGTCAAACATAGCCTTGGCTAGCCATATCATACTTTTCAGGGCTTCATTCTATTAGGAGCTTCGTCAACCATCGTCACAGGAGGATGCATAAAAAAATCATAGCTCATTAAACTGAGCGTGACTCAAAAGCAAATATGATTACGATGAACTCTGTATTAAAACAGTATTATAGATATACGACACGGAGATCCGGGAGGGGGGGGGGGGGCGGTGATCCCTACAGGGATCCTTGGGTATAGATTTTACAAAATGATCCCTATGTAAATTTTTAAACCTAATGATCCCTACGTAAAATATTTATATC